TGTTCAGGCTTCAAGTAAGCTAAGTAGAAATGTGAAGTAAAATCAAGAAGAGGTGGTCAAACAAAAATTACAGCACAACACACAGGTATCTTAGAGCATTTTTCAAACATGAGAATTCATGAAATTATGAGGAGCCTAATAAAAATGCAGATTCTCTGGCCCTCCTCCCAGACATTCTGTATCAAGTGTGGAGTGAGACCCGGAATGTGTGTTTTTAGTAAGCACTCTGGGTAATTCTAGTCCAAAGAGTCTGTAAGTCCTAATTTGAAAAACAGTCTTGGAACTTTTAAGGAGAAAGGCCAGTTAATTAGCGGGATTCCTCACAGAGCCACTTCCTCAGTAAAAGAACAGAGAACAAAGTGTTGCAGATCAGCCCCTAGTACCCACGACTGATATACAAACGACTCAACAAGAGAATCATATCTCAATATGCACGTGGCATAATGGAACTGCTGAAGAGAAAAAGCACCTCTAGATCTGAGCACCTCTGGATAAGCACCTCTTGCTTCCACAGGGGAGCAAGAAAAGTCAGCACAACTAAAATAAGGACATGTTTATGTCACTTTCTCAAAGGGCGAGAAAAGGGCAGCTCTGACACAGTGGGAAGACCCTGAATTCCAAAGTCCAATCCTGACTCTGCCGTTTGTGGAGTGTGTGACAATCATTGCCTCTCTAGCTTCCAAACTTTAAAGGGAGGCTACAACCTTCTCAAGGGATGGTTGTCAAGAGTGAATGATTGTAACACACTTTAATAAAGCCTTCTCTAAATTATAACACATCAAACAAACAAAAACTAGTACAGTTATAAGAAGCTCAAAGTTACTTTCTTAAATACTGACTGCAAGATTTTTGTAAGCATCTTGCTGAAAAGTTGGCAAGAATGGTATACTAAGTGTCACAAAGCCCAGCAGCGTGCCAGGAAGAGGTGGCAAACAGCTGACTGGTGAAATCAGGAGAACTCACAGAACATTCCAGGACAATGTGGGAAAATATCCCTTTCTCCAATGGTGGCAAAGGGTGAGGAGGAAAGAAGAGAAGGCTCAGTGCTCCAGTGTATAGTTTTATTTTATGCAAATTACCCCTAGTAAAGTGTAGGGTTCTTGGCTCTACTTGGGCTAACGCCACAGCAGGACCCTAGCAACTTCTTCCTCAACTACTCCCCATGGAGATGACCTGGAACTTCTGCTCCACAAATACAGTTATCTTACAAAAAGAACTCGGGAGAAGATTTGGTGTGGCTTCTTCCAAGAGGATTGAGGCAGGAAAAGAACAGAACAGTGGCTTACATGTGTGTCCAGGAATCTGGGGCTAAGCTTAGCTACTTTCCGGACAAGGAAAACTATGTGCCCTATGAACTTGTCTGTTTCTGAAGGGGGGTCATGGTGAGGGACAGAAGTAGCATTTCCTACTGCGGTTCATTTTGAAAAATGACAATCCTGTCTCAGTTCAACAAGGAGACAAAGACACAGACCCAAACAGAGGAGGAGGGAGCCAATGCTGGCAGAGGCCAGCTGTGGCAGCAGCAGGGCCAGCCTGGCTAAGGGACAGGGAGAGAGCTAGCTGAGGTCTGGGAGACAGGTGGGAAAACTTGGAAACAGGTCAGCTAGAATTGCTGATTCCCTTCTGTATTCCCCACGCGCTACCTCCCACCCCCAGCTTCGTGCTTTTGTCGGAGCTTTTCTTTGTTCATATATATGGTCTCTTTAAAGGGGAAAAGGTGGGAAGGTTATTTGCTGTGTTAGGTCAAGAAAAAGCTTTTGAGCAGAGACCAGTTTTTTCTTTAATATCCTGCTGATCGAGGTGTCATACTCATTAATGGATGGATCCTTACATGTCTTAAAAGAAAACCATCTGATCATCCTTTAGATCCACAAAGTACACGACTAGTACACTTATGCGAATGGCATTCCACGGATAGAGAATTAAAATGACAAGTGAGGATGTGTGTCCAGTAGGGCTCTTAAAAGGAAATATACCTCAAATGTGAGAAAAGTAGAGTCTAGCCTTAAAAGGTATAGAGGCTATGCCTTAGTGCATGAAGTACAATTACAGAAAAACAAGGGGATGAGCACAGAAAACATGAGCAGGTCACGGAGTGTAGATCAAGATCCAATCCCAAATGCAACATGATAAAAATGAAGAATTCTCGGGGCCGGCCCGGTGGTGCACTGCTACAGTGCGCCGCTTGGGAAGCGCGGTGGCGCTCCCGCCGAGGGTTCGGATCCCACATACAGACCGGCCGCTCACTGGCTGAGCGAGGTGCGGGAGCAACACCGAGGGTTGCGATCCCGTTGCCGGTCCTGGTCCGGTACGGGCGCGACACTGAGGGTTGCGATCCGTTGCCGGTCACGAAAAAAAAAAAGACAAAAAAAAAAAAAAAGGAAGAATTCTTGCTGTCCACTTAGAGGAGAATATTACATAAAAAGAAACTGAGAAATGATAGTATGGTAATACGAAAAGAATTTGAACATTACTATGAGAAAGTGAAATATATTTTATTAAGCAGTCATTTCTGAGGTCAATTTCCTTATGCATTGGCCATGTGGCTAATTAAAGTAAGCAGAGTAAAGTAAGCACCATTAAAGTAAGCAGAGCTAAATATAAGGAAAATAAAGATATTTTTAAGATGCCTCAGGAAAGAGAAGAATGGAAGTCACATGTAATGTTGTACAGAACAAACTGAATTATAGCTAATAGGAAATTCTAAGGCAGGAAAAATAGCACATGGCCAAAAGAAGGGGCTGAGGAACAGGTGACAGATAGCAAGCTGACTGGCCTCTGAAATGCCACAGCAACAGGCTTTTCAAGTTAGCTGTCGAAGACTTGGAGCAGGGCTGGACAGGGAATCCACCACTATAAACAAAATGATGAATGAGGAGTTCTATTCAAAGCAAAGGGAAATGAGGAGAAAATAACTGTGCCCCTGGAATGGCAGAAACACTGAACCCTATTTATATGAAAAAAGAGTAAGTCAATTAATCAATAGGGAATATGTGGTGACAGGAAAACAATAAAATTTACTGCACTTCATTCTTCAGAAAATGATACGTTAATATTAGCAGAAATTGGGTCACTATGGCTGCACAGAAATAATTGTGAATATACAAATGTAATGAGTCCATAACTTAAACTGCTGTAAAGCTCAAAAGTGATACTATTTGTGAACCCGCCTGTTAAATGTCAAGTCCATGCTTCTGACAGGCAGAGTGGTTATTGAGGGCAATGGCCAGGCCCACGTACCTGCATAGTCCACAGAGACATTTAATAGCTTTTTAAGCCAACCAGTCTTAATGATCTGCCCAGAAAATCCTAGCAAATATTGCTAACAAGAACTTGACTAACAGAATTGCTTGATTTGAATAGTGAGCATTTTTGAGTTACCTGTCTACCCTCTTGGGCAGATGTGCTAATAAGCAGAGGAGTGGTCACTGAAGTAGAAGGGAGGAGGAAAAGCAGAGGCCATGGATAATGTATCAACTGGAGCACTGGCATCTGGACAATTAATATCTGACTATATTGGCAAAGTGATTGAACCCTCCATAGTGGACAATACTTTGCCTTCATGTACCCAGCATTTAGTTATTGAAAGCACGATAATTAACCTATTTAGGAATCTGAATAAGTTACTACTGGTAAGAAGTTTTAGTTCATTTGAGACTGTTGGAAGATAAAATTATGAGTTGTTGGTTAAAATAAAAAGGAAATAGTATATATACACAAGTACAGGAGGAAGAAGTTAGGTTAAAAACAATGATTTGCAGAAAGGACTTCAAAATGAACAAAGAGATAACATATTATAAATAAAGTAACTTTCCTAACTCCATAAACAATTAAGAGTGAGAACGAAGGGCAATATACTATATTAAGATTTATTTGCCTGTTTTTCTTTATAACTCTTTTTTTTTTTTTTTAAAGAAATGTGATAACTAAAAAAAGCATGCAATTATTTTACATTCCTCCTGCATGGGAAGTTTAGACATCTCCAAGGGGTGAGAAAGAGCTTAGGGGAAAAAAAAAAGCCTGTGGATCTGCAAATTCCATGTGAAGGTAACAAAAATAACAGCTTATTAACCAAAGTTGATTAAACTTTGGCTAAAAACTCATTAGCTATGTGTACTTTTCTGTATATATATCACACACCAATAAAAAGGTTTAAAAAAACCTCATCAGTTGAAATACAAATTAAACTGTCCTGAAAAGCAAAATGTTTTGACAGAGATTTCAGAATAGAGGACAAATAACAACAGCATAATGTTAATGGATAAGCACATTTTGTGAGCCCCACAGAATCCAGTAATGCTGGTGACAAGTCACCGGGACTAGAAAACTGAAAAATGAGTCCTTCTTGTGGTTACAAGTACTTTACCTCAAGGTGACATTAGCAAGAAATTACTGACTCTGAAAAAGCAGAAACAGCCCCTTCCAAAAACAAAATCTTAGTTGTGATTCACACCCATGATAATGATGGCTTTCTCACCCCAGTTCTTGCCATGAGAGTCTCTGGGCCCACCTGGGTATCTACCACACTGGGCCCTCAACAGAGCACTTGACTCAGCTCATGTGACAATTCCACTACCCCTCGTGGGCTGAGTAGAATTAAGTTTGTTTCTCCTGGTGTCATAAGGATTGAACTGCTCTGAGAATGAATCAATGTCCCTCATTCCCACTACAGAAATGCAGATATCCAGAGTTTAGAATGCTGGATACAAACAAAACATCAGAAAAATATAACTGAGCTGTAGACCACATTCACACTATCCAAATCTCATGGGAACTAAGATGGCAGGAATTTACCATTTAATCAGTCCTCTCTCTAACAACACTGCATATTTGGGGTATGTTTCCCACTGTAACCCAATTCCTGCAATGAATGTGAACTTTATCTTGGCTCTATTGATATGACCCGGAGTTCCATCTTTAGCTATAACAAACATGTGAAAAAGAAAAGTTGACTAGCATTTGTTAGTGCAGATATTATTCTAGTCTACATAAACACTTACCTCTTTGACACTATGTGTTACTGCCCATATTAGAAAAACTCTTGACATCACCTGGAAAGAAGTCAGGACAACAGAGGATGGAACAATTCCTGAAAGAAATTTTAGGATGGATAAATAAATGTATTGTACTAAGTTTCAACATAAAATAAATTTTCCAAAACATTCAAATTTCAATGTTTAGAACCAAAACAATCTTGAGCAACTGAAACTTATCTATATTGCTATGCAGATGAAGTTTTTCAATGCAGTCAGTATTGAAAACTTTTTTCCTCTCTCAAAACAACAAATATCATTAATGGCACTAGTAAGGCACGGAATCTAGGTAACTTTCTTAAGCCTTATAAAACCACTCACCAAGTACAGTGTTTTTTTACATTTTACATATAGAGAAAACAAAACCACTACCTAACCTTTAAAATTAGACATTGAAAGTTCATTTTATAATATGAGTTTCAAAACAATGGATGGGAAATCAATCTACTTGTGCCTAATGAATGTTGGAAGCTCCTGGATATCAGACTTGATATGTGTACTATCTAATGGTTAAGTTGGGTATATTTTATTATTTACTTTAATATTTTGCCCACAAGGATAGCAAAATCAAAGACTACTTTAAAAATCATTTCTTCTTACCTTGTTCATTACAAGCGTAGTACGATTATCTTCCCATTGTCCCCAAGTCATAACACTGGCATCACATTTAATTATTTTAGATAATTACCAAATTATGTTAAATTTACACTTCTTTGGCTTATCCCTTCAATTCCTATAGCCATAACCGCTATCTAGAGACCAGCACCACCATTATATAGACTTCCTGCCTCCTTTAACTCATCTTAAACCCAGTGATAGCCATTATCTATAAACATTATTTCATCTTTGTCACTGTACACTGGCAAAGAACTGCTACTAAAATAAAATTTAGAAACAGAATCATGAGTATTCAGTCCAACAGACTCCTCCATTTCTCTCTGGACTTACTGATGCTAGCAACTAGACTTGCCTGCTTCCTGGACCTCTCAAGTTGCACATGGCCACTCTGCACCTTCCAGGATCCTCTCACCGCAGTCGCAGATCCTTCTTCCACTTTAAAACCAACCTCATCTTCAACACGGTCACTGGACTATCCTAGACCAATTCTCATTCTTCCTAGCCCTCTACAACACATTCTCACTTCTGAACATTTATATAGTTGGACAAACACCAAAAGACCATGTACAAATTAGACAGATCTACAATGACCTCTACAGATTTGGCTATGACAGGAAATCACTTTATATCTCATTATGAAAAAAGAGACATTATATCCTGTTAAAATGGGTTTCCTAAAGAAAATTTGGGCTTTGAAGAGGAATGGTTTAGTTCTCAAAAGCAAGTAACATGAATATCAGGCACAATGCTTGGTATAATGAAAGAATAAAAGAAAAATATAAATATATGGACATATAGATCAATGGAGTAGATTGAGAGTACAGACATAAACTCTCATATTTATGGTCAATTGATTTTCAACCAGGGTGCCAAGACAATTCAATGCAAAAAATAATTGTCTTTTCACAAATGATACTAGGACGACTGAATAGCCACATGCAAAAGAATGCAGTTGAATCACCTCCTCACACCATATACAAAAATTAACTCAAAATGGATTAAAGACCTAAATGTAAGAGCCAAACTAGAAAACTCTTAGAAGAAAACATAGGTGTAAATTTTATGATCTTGGATTGGGCGATGGTTTATTAACCATGACACCAAAAATAAAAGAAAAAATAAATTGGACTTCGTCAAAATTAAGAACTTTTGTGCTTCAAAGGACACCATCAAGGAAGTGAAGACAACCCATAGATAAGAGAAAATATTTGCAATTCATATATGATAAGGGACTTATAGCCAAAATATATAAAGAACTCTTACAATTCAACAATAAGACAAAGATGTTCAACATCATTAATCATCAGGGAAATGCAAATCAAAGCCAAAATGAGATATACTCACACCCACTAGGACGACTAATCAAAAAGACCGATAATAACAAATGTTGACAAGGATGTGGAGAAACTGGAACCTTCACATATTGCTGGTGGGACTGTAAAAGGGCACAGCCACTCTGGAAAACAATCTGGCACTGTCTCAAAAGGCTAAATATAGAATTACCAAATGACTTAATAATTCCACTCCAAGGTGTATATGTGTGTATATCTCCAAAAGAAATAAAAATATATACCCCCACAAAAACTTGCACATACATGTTCATAGTGGTATTCATATTAGCCAAAAAGTGGAAACAGTGTCCAGCAGCAGCTGAATGAATAAATAAAAAGGTGGTAAATTTATAAAATGAAAGATTAGAGTAAAATAAAAGTAATTAATAATAAATTGAAAGAAATGATGTACAGATACAAGCTACAATATTTATGAACCCTGAAAACATTATGCTAAGTGAAAGAAGCCAGTGACAAAATACCACATATCATATGATTCAATTTATACAAAATGTCCAGAATAGGCAAATAGAGCTGGAAAGTAGATTAGTGGCAACCCAAGGCTGGGAGGTTTGGAGGGAAATGGAAAGTGACTGTTAATGGGTACAGGATTTCTTTTTGGGGTGATGAAAATGTTCTAAAATTGATTATGATAATGGTTGCACAACTCATTAAACACTCTAAGTGGGTGAGTTGTATGGCATGTAAATTATATCTGAATAAAGCTGTTATTAAAATAAATGTATGAGTGAAGTACAAAGCCTGGTTATATAATTATGTAATACAGCTAAAGGGGCTAATTAGTGAGTCAAACATTTAGTGAATACACTTAGCTAGATCACACTTCAAATGAGAAAAAATTAAAGGAAAAAAAGGACTGAGAAATAAAAGATTTCTTAAATGAGTTATCAAGCATTTGCTGCTTAAGGAAAGACCACCACTATTCTAGCTGCTGCTTTTTTTTTTTTTTTTTTTTTTAAAGATTTTCTCAGGGTGCCAAAACTAGAAGATAGAGATAAGAAAAAGAAAAGTTGGAAACCTGGCTTCCAGAGATAACGACTATTAAAATTTAAAAAATACAGTATATCCATTCAGAATTTTTTATGCATACACATTTAGAAGTATTTGAATATACAGTTTAACAACCTTTTTATGTTTAATAGTTAGTGATGCTCTTAAATGCAGTAAACATATTTTTACAAACTATGTTTTCATTTCTGCTCTTTCTCCTTTGGACACTGAAGCAATGGGCTAGACTGCTAATTTTTCCAGCAATGCTCCAGGGTTGCTGCTGTACCTTGAAGTCCATGATCAGACTCCTTGATTTGCAAGTTCAAAAACCTGATTTTATCCCATTCACCAGCAAGAATCAGGCTCTGGGAGAACTGACACATACCAATCAAGACCATAGGAGACTAGGTAATAATACAAATTGTCAATTTATTCTTTTGTAATAGAGGCACAGCCTACCTAATAAGTGAATGATGGGGATTTTAGAGAACTCATCCAGAAGTACTTTTTTCTGGTGTCAAAATCAGAATGGTCAGTAAGTGTGACTTTAAATAAAGGAATCTGGAAGGTCTGGGGGAAGAATGCGCAATTCAGCTGAATACAAGTTTATTAATTATCCTTTCTCTACTATAAAGCTCCCTTTTCTAGGGAATATGAATACTTATATTTGTCTTATTTTCAAAAATGCTAAGCAAGGGCCGGCCCGGTGGCGCACTCGGTAGAGTGCGGCGCTTGGGAGCGTGGCGGCGCTCCCACTGAGGGTTCAGATCCCATATAGAGACCGGTCCGTTCACTGGTTGAGCGCGGTGTGGGCGCGTCACTGAGGGTTGCGATCCTGTTACCGGTCACGAAAAAAGACAAAAAGGAAAAAAAAAATGCTAAGCAAAAATTATCATATTGTTTTTCTTAAAAACAAGTTTTAGTATACAAAAAAAATGATTTATTTTTTTGGTATACTGGTCTTCTAAACATATTTCTAAACACACTTCAACTTCAATTGTTTTTATTCTTTGTATTTTGCGTTTCTCATTTTTTAAGAATTTTCTATCTTATACTCTTCAAAACATTTTAGATTGAGTCATGATATTCCTTTAAGTGAATATATTATATCTGTTTATCTATTCTTCTTCTGTGGAACATTTAAATTGCCTACAATTTCTTGGTACTATAAATTAAGTAATGAAGTATTACAAATAACAGTTAAAATTTTTTGAGACTAGACCTTTTTTGAAAAAAAGGATTATTTCCTTGGGATATTTTCCCAGAAGTAGAAGTACTAGGTCAAATGGTATGAATGTCCTTAAGTCTCTTGAAATATATTGCCAAATTGCTTCCCCCAAAATTTCTTATCAATTTATACTCCTACCAGCAATATATAACAGTGCCTGCTTTAGCACACCCTTGACAGTGAATTTAAATCTTAATAATTAGTGGGAAAAAAGCTGATTAATGCTTTCTAATTTGATGCAGATGCAGAGATGTTTCTAGCCTTGCCTGCATGTGCTCTGACATTTCCTATCCAGGGAACTTGCCTACTAAGGCACCTTAATTTCCCCCAAATGATGTCATTCATACCAACTCTCACTTAGTTTTTATAGTATATGCACCTACTCAACCAGTCACCCAGCAAACAGCGGTTCAGGCCCTAGCCTGACAGCACAATCTCAAAATGCCTACTCTCCTGGACCAGTCACAAGGCCAGCAGGAAGAAGGGCCTCTTACATAAGGAAGATCTTCCTTGGTTTCAAGGCAGACAAACAACAGAAAGCCACACAGATAGATCATCTCCTATTATCTCAGCTCTGAACAAAGCTGGCATTGCTGAATATGGCTTACTGTTATTATGTTATTATCAGATAGATTTCATAAGAAACTGTCAAAAAATTATTACTTTGTTGTAGGAATGGTATACAGTAAAACGTCCACCAATACCCTTTAAATAAAACCCCAGGTGGGAAATTTGTTTTAGAAATGTTTGCTTCTTTCCAATGATAAGAAATATACAACTCAGTCACCCCTTTCAATTTGGCAGCCAGAAAGCTTCAAGCCAAATCTGAAGCACGCTACATTATTAAATTTTGTGTATGAGTTACCAC